AAAGAACGAAAATCTGTGGCAGGCGCATTTTTAAAGATACGATAAAACTAAAAACGCAGTATCGTAGAGAATGCCCATATCTATTGCCCATATCATTGCCGAATCTGAATCAGATCGGATCATAATAATAGGCAGAATGAAGAAATTAATTTTCTGTTGGCTCCCCCGCCCCCTCCTGCCTACGACTACGACTCATTCTCTTTCTCGCTCGCACACTCTGCCGCGTTCAGTGCGCGGGTTGTATAATATACATTGTAGATGTAGATAGCAGATGTAGCAAAAATTCTAAATTCTAAAATTCTAAAAAATCATATGCTCAAAAATGTATATACTGACTGAGTACGGGTATAAGTAGAGTCGTCCCCAGAAGCGACTCGCACGTTCCTTCTCGTTTTAGTTCTAAAATTCTAAATGCTCAAAAATGTATATACTGACTGAGTACGGGTATAAGTAGAGTCGCGTCCCCAGAAGCGACTCGCACGTTCCTTCTCGTTTACAATGCACTCGACACATTTTTTTATTCCTGTGTCCCACTTTCTTGTCCGGTTAGATCTTGGTTTACCAAAGAGTCATCCAGTCTAAAAAACTTAAAATCAAGACTTTATAAGAAATTTCGAGAAGTTGATTCGCCCTCTTCTCTTTCTCGCTATGTAATAGCTCGGTCAAATTTCTCCGTTCTTAACGCTCAATGCTATAAAAATTACCTATCTCGATGCAAGGTACGATTTTCACAGGACCCTAAACAGTTTTACAGCTTCGTAAATAGTAAGCGTAGAACGTCCGCACATCCATCCTCGCTATCATTTCTCAATATGTCAGCGAACAATGATCAGGCAATGGCCGATCTTTTTGCAAAATTTTTCCAAACAACCTATTCTCGTTAAAGCTACTCTGGTCAGCCGTATCCATACAGTTTTTCCAAGGTTGAATGGCATCATCAGCCCATTGTTGAATGAAAGCTCACTGCTTCATGATCTTTGACTAGTTAAGCCGGTGCTTTCACCAGGACCCGACGGAGTTCCCGGCTGTGTACTTAGGTACTGTGCCGACGCTCTGTGTGGACCCCTGCTTAAACTCTTCAACCTATCCATTAACTCTTCATGGTTCCCCCCATCTGGAAGGAATATTTTATTATTCCGCTCCATAAGAAAGGTAGCAAGTCTGATGCAAATAATTATAGAGGTATATCTGAGCTATCCGCTATTCCAAAAATGTTTGAAAACATTTTAACTCCGCATTTGCCACATCCCTGCAAATCACTTATATCTCCGTCTCAGCACGGATTTATAAGGCGACGATCAACAACCACAAATTTATTAGAGTTACCCTCTTTTATCATTAAAGGCTTCCAAGGTAACTTGCAGACAAATGTCATTTACACTGATTTCAGTAAAGCATTCGATTCTTTAAACCATTCCCTTCTAGCACAAAAACTTGACCTTTTAGGGTTTCCGCCTAATCTTTTCAGATGGATTTCTAGCTACCTTCGTTCTAGGTCTCAAAGAGTCCTCTTCAAAAACTCCTTCTCTTCACCCGTTAATGTTACTTCTGTAGTACTACAGGGCAGTGACCTGCCTCCTTCAGTATTAACAAACTCTCGAGTACTCATGTATGCGGATGATGTTAAACTCTGTGTTCAGTATAAGGACATTTCATTTCACTCTCGCCTGCAACCCGATCTTAATAACTTTCTGTCATAGTGTTGTGCGAATATGTTACACCTAAATGCCTCGAAATGCAAAGTAATGACATTTCATTGCTCCAGCCCCTTTTTGGCTCCCTATAGCCTCTGCTGTGGTTCTCTTGAGAGAATTACCTTGGTTGATGGTCTTGGTGTTAAACTAGACCCCAAGTTAAAGTTTTCTGAACACATTTCTACCATGGTAAATAAGGCCATGGGCGTGCTTGGGTTTATAAAGAGGTGGTCAAAGGAATTTATGAGACTGCCATCTTACCCTCGTAGATTGCTTTTAATAAACCTTCCAACCTTAATTAGTCGTAGAAAATTGCTTGGTTTGATTTTTATGCACAACCTGATCAAGGGTGATGTAGACAGCCCTGACTTGTTGAGCCGCATAAACTTTACGATTCTTATTAGATCTACTAGAAACTTTACTCCTTTGTTTCTTCCGCTTTGTAGATTAAATTATTCCTTGCACGAACCATTTAGGGTCATATGCTCGGACTTCAATTCCCTCTACCATATAATATCCACCACTAATCTCCTTCCTCTTCTTAAATCACTAATACTAGCATACCTTTCCCGTAATTAGTACTATTTCTTAGCTATATTTGCATGTTTAGCTCTTTGAGTTGTGTTTAGCTCTAATTTTCCTCGAATTTGAATACACCTATCTTTTCTGCAGCGCCCCTCGGTCGGTTAGGCGGGAGGAGGTGCTGCTTTTCTGCCTGGGTTCCGCGCATAACAGGCTTCGGCTTGGTGTCGCATGGTCCACTTGATGGTGCAGTCATTGCATATCAACGTCCAGACATAATAACGAATAGAAGACGACATACCGGCTCAAAAAAAGAGCTGAGACCAGCACAATAAAAAAAAACAAGAAGCAAGAGAGGCCACACAACAGCACAAACACTAACAGTGACTAGAACTGACGAGGACGCCGCTTAAAAAGACCACAGCAAGCGAATGAAAGAAAAAATATTTCAATGTCTGAGACTGAAACTAAAACGAAATTCAATTAAAAGCCAACAACATAATATTGTAAAAAGCTGACGAGCCAGCCTCAATACACAGGGGAGCAGACTAGACTCTTGTGATCATCGCACAAGCACAAGCGGTCTCGTCGAGGCGGCGAATTGCTGAATGTACATTGGGGCGTATACTCATTTTTTCAAAGCTTTCTGCAACTGCCAGCCCAAATAAGGTGTATACTTGATAGATTTTACACCCGACACTAAGATATATGCTGTTTGCTCAAATGTACGACACAGGCAGACTGAGATTCTGCTTTCGTTAGGTACACGAATATACATATGTATGTATGTATGTATGTACATCTGTACATACTCGTATAAATCAGACTTTTTCTTCTAATTTCGTAACATATCAGAGATACAATAAAATAATTTAATCTTTAACTTCTGATATGCAGATTTTTTTTTTTTTAAATATTATTATGCATAAATTTTTTATATCATTATAACATCCTTTCGATCGAATTTTTTGTATATTCGTAGCTAGCAGCATTCAAATAAACATGATATAACAGAATTGTCATAAAGTCAATTTTTAATGGCAATATCATATGTATCTTATGGTCCGAAAGTCAACTATGTATGGTTGTACTTTTCTTTCGCTTGCTATCGTCCACTTTTTATTCTTTCTACACCAAAACGGCTGCAACAAAAGTCGCCACACTTAATTTGCATATTTTTACGTAGCCACAATTTCCGCGCTCGTTTGTGTGAGGTACCACGTTGATTTTTGAAATACTCGTACACACCAACATAAAACTGTATAAAGCAGACGGTACCACTCTTCGTATGTGTACTATTGTATTGAAAGTGCATGCTGCATGAAAAAGTCTGTTGCTTTTTTTCTGCTTCGGCTTTTGTTTGCATTATTCTTTTATCTATTTTCTCTATTATTCTTTTGTTTAAAGATAAGAAAACAGAATAAATTGTCATTGCAGTGCTTAGATGATAAGCAAGTCCCAGAGCCAAAATAGAAACGAGAAGGAACGTGCGAGTCGCTTCTGGGGACGCGACTCTACTTATACCCGTACTCAGTCAGTATATACATTTTTGAACATATGATTTTTTAGAATTTTAGAATAAATTTGTTTGCTACATCTGCCATCTACATCTATATCTACAATGTATATTCTACATCTAACATGTAGATTGTACATGTTCCATTTAGATTCTACGTCTCCTCCGCTAGGTGTTGCTCGCGCACTGAACGCGGCAGAGTGTGCGAGCGAGAAAGAGATAGGTAGCTGGTCTCTGGCTGGGGAGGCGGGGAAAGCAACTGAAAATTAAATTTCTTCATTCTGGCTATACATTTTAAAATACACTTGTAGCAGTGTGATATCACATGAGTCTGGAAACCAAATTTGGTGGCCTTAGCTCTTACAGTCTCTGAGATCTAGGCGCTCAACAAGACGGACAGACAGACAGACAGACAGACAGACAGACAGACAGACAGACATGGCTATATCGACTCGGCTATTGATGCTGATCAAGAATATATATACTTTATGGGGTCGGAAACGTTTCCTTATCTGCGTTACTCACATCCACTTTTACCTCAAATCTAATATACCCCTTAACTCTTTTTTGAGTACGGGTATAAAAAGAGAACTTAAACAAGGAAATTAATATTTCAGCTTGGAATTCCACGCAAAATGAAAACGTGAACGTCAGATAAATATGTAAATGAAGGATACGGAATGGAATAGATAGAACTGCAAATATAGAAACAAATATTGGTTTGGCAAGAAATTCGTGTCGTTTTTGTGAAAAGGTTAATTTATTCCTGCTGAACCATATTATGATAGATAATTTGAAACATATACTAATAGTTACATGTGTTAAGATGCTGCAGCTAATACTAATTATTATGTGTCGATATTTAGATTACCATTTCCCCTGAATCAGTCTCGCTCTCTCTCGTTCACCCTTTCTTTGCTCTTATCTCTCTCATGCATTCAACCCCATTGGCACTATGGAATGGACCGTATAGAACCCCATTACAAGTGACAAACTGTCGTCCTGAATGTACTCTCTAGATGCTATCAGTCCACCCCAGTCCTCTCGAGCAATATCTGAAAGTGCTGTAAAATTGACAAAGGGCTTGTGCTGTAGCCCTGCAGACTTTAACAGTAGCTGCTGTGGCAGCGTTTTCTTGTTTTTCCAAAAACTAAAGGCCATGAAGGCAGCCACCTACAGACACACCCCATTCAGGTAATTGCAAATTTGACGGTTGAAGTAAAAAAGCTCAACAATTTGCAAACGACATCTAATTCAGGTCAAAAATGTAAATTATAAAAATGTAGTATATTCAGAGTTACTAGTTACTTAGTTACTAGAGAATTAGAAATTCTATCGTAGATACTATAAAATAATATACGACTCTTAAATAGTTGGGGACAAAATAATTGTCCAGTTTAAATTTTCAAAAATAAAATCGATCAAGAAAAAAACTTTTTTTGCTCATTGTTCATCGTCACTAAGCTTATGATTCGAGAAATTAAGTAAATATGGTGAAATAAATGCATATAAAATAAATACAGTAAATATTGTTCTGAGATAGATCTTAGGGTTGTTCGGGGGAAAGAGTGTTATCTCGAATGCATTTCAGTTGCTTATAATTTACTAATGAATATGATTAAATTTTAATTATATTTGTTTTGGAATATGAGTATATTTAGTTGTAAATTGCGCAAATTCAATGTTCAATGCCTTGTGCAGTCAATTTTAATATACACTTAATAAAATACTCTTCTGTTTGTTCGGTTGACATATCGAGTGATAATATTGGGGCTTAGTATTGCTTACACATAAAGTATTCAGTTGATATGGTCACTCAATAAGAATAAAAGATTTGGTAACTTTTCCATTATAGACATTTCATTGAAACGTATTTCTGCAAAGGATTTTCGTGATATTTCAGTTATTTACAATCAAAGTTCGAAAAAGTTAATTTAGTTTCCTTGAGAGTTTGCTAAAATATTTGTAATTTATCGGCTTATAAAATAATCTACTGATGTTTTACATTTAACGTTTGTTCACAAAAGTTGCTCCGTCTATATAAATATAGTTTTATGAATGTTTACATATATGTATAAAAAAAATATACTCTGCAGTCTCTTGCTTGTTTTTCATATCAAATATCATTATTCTTTTTAAAAGTAGTCTTTTCTTGTTCTCGAGGGTTATGTGTACTTCACAACAGCAAGTATTTGGGTTTCTCTTCCTTCAAACCAGAAAATTATAATTATTCACTTGAACCTTATATTTATATATAGTTGGTATAAAAAGAATACTTAATCCCTGCTGCAAGATTTCATTGCAAATCCAAAAAATACAAATCGCGAGGTGAAAATTTTTCCGAAATTTCCAAGTACAGTGGCATCTTAAAGTAATGAGTAAGAATAGTTGTTGATCCTGATCTTAAGTCTTTAGGTTTTTCATCTCCGCCTGCTGACCAACGACGGTAAAGTAACTCGTAATCTTTCGATTTGTCTTTGACTTGCCGTCGACCGGAGATCCGCTGGACAAAGCATTCTCTTTCTCCGGCGTGATCTCATCGTCTTCTACATTAGCTGCGGCGTCCACTTGCATTGAGACTGTGACAGACACCTGAGCGGGAGGGACACAACCAGCCCCGGCATCAGCTGGAAATTTAGTCATGTCTAATTCGTTCTTTCCTGTAGAAGACTCCTCGGCTATGTCCGGTAGGGAGCTTAGGCTGCGCTTCAGATCATTCAGTAGTTTTTCCTGAGCAGCGATCTTTTGCTGCAACTTCTCACGCCGTGGTCGGCGCAGATTAACTTTGTCTTTGGGTTCTGTTCCTTGCTCTGTCCTAGATTCTGTTTCCTTCTCTGGTATGGATTCATTTCCCTTCTCCGGCTTAGCTTCTTTTCCTTGACCCGTCTTTGTCCGCTCTGGCTTGTGGAAGCCTTTGCCATGCTCGCGCTGTTGATGACGCTGCAGATTCACACGGGAGGAGTAGCCACGCTGACAAGACTCGCAGTTAAAGGGTTTCTCGCCTATAAAACCATGTTCAGTTCCGATAAAATCTCTAATTTTATAGCCTACTCACCTGTATGCTTGCGCATGTGCACTCGCATGTCAATCTTCCTTGCGAACCGTTTGTCGCAAAGCTCACACTGTATCGGCTTGTCGCCTAAATGAGTACGTCGGTGCACCACAAGATTCTGACGTGCCCGGAAGGCCTTGCCGCACAGATCACAAGCATAGGGTTTCTCTCCGGTGTGAATTCTCACATGGATGGCCAAATCGGAGCTTCGAACAAAACCTTTGTCACATTTGTCGCACTTGTACCGCCTGTCGTTCTTATGATGCCGCATATGCAGTGATAGATCTTGTTTGGTGGCTAAGGGCATGGAACAGACCTCGCATTGATAGGCCTTCTCAGTACGATGTCGCAGCTTATGCTCTGCGAGACGCATCTTCAAGCGAAAAGCTCTTCCGCAATGGTTACAAATGAATGGTTTCTCGCCTGTGTGGATTCGCAGATGATCTTGCATGCGTGAGAAGCGCTGAAAGGTCTTGCCGCAAAAGTTGCAGGTGTGTATGGGTCTACCAATGCTCTGAGATTCCTCTATTGACTCCCGTTTAATCGAGGTCAGGCTCTCATCGCTTGAGCTGTTGCGCGGCGAAACTGTGGCAGAGGAGCCCTCAGTCTCGTCTTCGTCTTCCTCATCCTTTACATCCATTACATAGTCGACAAAGTTTCGAGTTTTGCGCATGCGTCGCTCGCTTGGCTCCGTCTCTGTTTTGATCTCATTCTCTGTGTCCAGAAACGAGGGTGATAATTGTTTGCAGGCACGCTTCCGCTTAACTGGGTTAGTCTCCTGGGTGAAAAACAAGAAATAAGAATTTAAAGAATTTTAAGAATTTGAATTGCTAAATTAATCTCACCTCTGGACGCTGCAGCGGATCTGGACCTGCTTGGTCTGACTTCTCCTGATTCTTTTTTTCAGGTTCCTTCACGTATTCTGGTTTTGCCTGCTCTCTATCCTTTTGTTTAGGATATTCTTCCTGATCCTTATTTTTCCCCCGCTTTGAAACACCTGGCAGTTTAATAATCATCTTAGTGACCTTGGGAGCGCAATTTTGCTTTCCCCTTTCGGCTGTGATTTTCGTCACCATGGCGTTTATTATATCGAGATCATCTTTATCGTTGCACGAGCCAGTCCCCGATGGCTCCTTGCCATCCTGTTCGGGTGGTGGGGTCTCCGGTGCTGGGATGGGCAACTGAAGCTGCTGACTGGACTTGCTCATGGCTAGAGCAGCAGGTATAGTCACCATAGCTGTGGGTGGCACCTCAGTTGGTTCCTCCTTAGGGACGAGCAACTTAAAGTAGCCATGCTGCTCGCTCAGATGACGGTGAAAGTGTTTTACATCCACAAACTGGGAGTTGCAGGCCATGCAAAGCTGCAACAGGGATTCCTGTTGTAATAGCAGCTGGGCACAAGGTTTCAAGTAACCTACATTCAAGCTAGACAAATCAAGAGGAGACGTTGACTCGATTTCACTAGGGGAAACTTTGCTTCTGTTACGCTTGCGCTTGGCCTGATTGCAGTCCTGCTCTGAGTGCTCCTTTTGGAAATGCCGGGAGAGAGACAGTCCGTCGCCGTAGTGGTTGCAGCAGCGGGCACATCTGTAGAAGAAGCGATGCCACTTCTCATCTGCCAAGACTTCGGCGGCGACAAGAGAGGATGCGGTGTTGACCTGGGAGCTGCTCGAGTTCCTACCACCCGATGTTTTCCGTTTGTTTTTGTTGCCCGTTCCAGGAGGACGTCCACGAGGTTTTCGTGACGCTGCTTTGTCATTTGTATGCTGCTGCTGCTGCTTCTGCTTCTGCTTATTACCGTTACTGACCTGCGACTTTGTTGTTGCTGCTGCTGTCTCCGCTGCCGCTGCTGCAGCCGCTGCTTTCACATCCAAGCGTATGCGCTGGGCCTCCAATTCGGCCTCGTCCTCGCTGTCAATTTGCAGAACCACGTCGTCGGGATCATCAAGTAAATCGTCATCTTCCTCCAATTCGGAATCTTCCGAGTCTTCGTTGTCACCCAACGCTGCCGCCGCAGTCGACGCAGCCACCACGACGGAGTCTCCATTTGTTTTTTTTGCTGTTTTCAGCACTGACGGCATCGGCTCTGGAACATTGGCCATTTTTAGCAATTTAAACACTCACTATCCAGTTTCTATTTCTTTCTGCTTTTCTTTTAAAAACTATGTAGAGTCTGGAGTACAAATTAATAACAAAAACTGCGGCGCAGCATTTCGAGCCAAATAAATCCACCGACGCCGCTGGCAGCAGATTTTTTCAATGTTGCTCTTGCGCTCTCTCTCTCTCTCTCTCTGTATTCGTTCTCTTTTGTTCTTTGAGCGCGCTTTGTATTAATACATACCTACCCTTGGCGTGTGTGCCGAAAGTATGGCTGTGTGTGTGCTTGATCGATACTATCGGTGTTATCGATACTATCGATATTTTGTTTTAAAAGCAATCCTCGATGTATCTCCATGTTTCTGTACTTCACTTAAATATTATTGCAAAGACGGTTACAATTTAAAAATCACATTCCAAGTCAATATAAAGTGCAGCTGGCGTCCACTAATGCCATTTTGATGGATACTTCGATTTTGAACCAAATTTTTAGTTTTTTTTTTAAACAACTATTTGTTTATGCTTCTCACGCTCTCAATTGGCACGTTTTTAGCTGCCTTTTGTTGGCAATTCTTATTATTTCGCCTTCTATTGGAACTACTGTTTTCGTGGCTATGTACATGTGTATGTACATATGTACATATGCTATGCTATTGTCGGCAGACATTTTCGTAACGTTACGGTGGCAACATGTGCAAAAGTCAATTTGAAAATTGCAGCATGGCATCTGCTCCACACCGCCCATAGGCAAGGCAAAATGGTACTTTGTGGTTTTACGCTGCGACCCACAACAGAGCCCACTAGGAAGGAAAGTTGTTTATACTGCTTTTAATAACATTACATTCAACACTTTGGAGGCAAGGAACCTCTTTTGTTCCATTCATTTTACCAATGATTTTTTTTACGCACCCTGTTGTCATTTAATGTATTTGTTGAACATCTGCGATTAAATTTATATAATTTAGTTTCAAGGGAAATGTGACTTTCGTGACAGTTCCTCGCTGCCAAGCTCTGCCACTGTCACCAGATACGCCTTCTGTGAGGACGGCAGGGGAAAGGAAATGAAATATTTGCAAACAAATAGACACACTTATTACTTCTTAGGTCTGGTCTGGCTTTGTTGGGTTGGATGTTGAATGCTTCTGGCGCGTGTTTCGTTTACTTGTGCTAAAGATGTCTTCATGTCGGTTTTTTTCCTTTTTATTGTTGTTCTGCCTTTAACTGACATGCCCCAATTTTTCTTCATTTCGGTTTTCGTGTGCGCAGGAAGTCCCAGAAGAAGACAGAACTCCTGGTTAGATAGATGGGTTGTCTTGCTAATAATTTAGCAGTTGTAGTTTTAATACGCTGCAGTTGTAGGTGATAGGATATTCGTTGAAGTCTTACAGTTCATACGCAGTCACATTAACTGTGAGGAAAGATCCTGGCCAACATAATTATACCCGTACTCAAAAAAGAGTTAAGGGGTATATTAGATTTGTGGTAAAAGTGGATGTGTGTAACGCAGAGAAGGAAACGTTTCCGACCCCATAAAGTATATATATTCTTGATCAGCATCAATAGCCGAGTCGATATAGCCATGTCTGTCTGTCCGTCTGTCTGTCTGTCTGTCCGTCTGTCCGTCTCCATGAGCGCCTAGATCTCAGAGACTATAAGAGCTAGAGAAACCAAATTTGGTTTCCAGACTTATGTGATATCACACTGCTACAAGTGTATTTCAAAATTTCGCCCCGCCCCCTTCCGCCCACGCAAAGGACGAAAATCTGTGGCAGGCACAATTTTAAAGATACGATAAAACTGAAAACGCAGTATCGTAGAAATTGCCCATATCTACCAGATTGCCGAATCTGAATCAGATCGGATCATAATTGTAGCCAGAGTGAAGAAATTTTCAGTTGCTTCACCCGTCTCCCCCTGCGTTCAGTGCGCGAGCAACCCCTAGCAGAGGAGATGTAGAATCTAAATGGTACATGTATAATCTACATGTTAGATGTAGAATATACATAATATATGTAGTTGTAGATAACAGATGTAGCAAAAAAATGTAAAATGTAAATTGTTTTTTTTATTCTAAAATTCTAAAAAATCATATGCTCAAAAATGTATATGCTGACTGAGTACGGGTATAAGTAGAGTCGCGTCCCCAGAAGCGACTCGCACGTTCCTTCTCGTTTTTCTTGCATACAACTAAAACAAACAAAAAATTTTTCATGCGTTTGCGACAGGAAAAGCCTAACTAAAATGGTTTTCCGTCTCTTTAGTTCCGACCGGGTTATCGTATGCTCGCTCGAGCAAGAGTTTAATCAGGTAAACAAAGAGCAGGTGAGCATGCACAGCCAGAAAAAGTACCAGACGAACCCATAAGTTACCAAAGTAACCTAAACCCCTTGACATGGTTCGGAACCGAGTCCAATGGGAGGCATAGGTAGCATTTAACACCTGTCTTGACGATTCCCCTGGCATAGTCTTGCAGCCACAACTTCAAATATAAAGTTGCTGGGCCTGGGAAAAACTCCCTTGGCCAGCAGGCAAATGTACCTGGTCATAATAATGTTTCAAGGCCGATTTGCCCCCAGCGTAGACATTAAGAAGAAATTTAAACGGCAATTTGGTGCCGTGTTTACCAACCCCAAGGACAACGAACGACGATAGCTCCCAGAATCCAAAAAAGTGGGCTGAAGTTTTTCCCCCTTCTTTTTCAGTGCGGGGATAAACTGCTTACGTGCCTGGCAAATCTAAGGCCAGGCTCCCGCCTCGCATTCAACCAGCCAAAAAAAGAGCGTTTGCTTGCTCCTCCTTTTTTTTTGTCTGCTGGCAGGCCTGTCACCATTACCATCGGCCTGGGCACGTCACTTTTCGTTGCTTGAGCTCCTCTGTTGGTTTGGGGCAAAAATTCAGAAAACGCACAACGCTTCCATCGCTCTCTCCATGCCCCAGCACACTAAGATGTGGCCCAACATAAAGTGTGTTTAACTTTTTGTTGTTATTGCGAACGCCCAAAATATCTTTGGCCCGTCTTAGCCTTATGCTTCTCATGTTGTGGCTGTGTGGCGCCCTCACGACCTTTAGTACTATATTGACTAGTGGAAAATTTGGTGTCCATTTTGTTTTTGGCTTATAGCTTGCGGGCGAATGTTTTATGCACGACGCACTTACACTGCCACTTTTCTGCCTTGTTTATTTTCTTTTCCCCGCTTTTCTTTCTTTATGTATGATGCACTTCATTTTATTGTTGTACCAAGCTCCGCTTGGGGAAACGAATGCGAAGTGTGTCCATGTCCCTGGGCTTGCGAATATGAGCTGACAGTTCATCAAGTCAAGTAGTTAGCGGCCCAGAAGCCGTAGGGCAAATCAAACGCGTGTTGCGTTTGCGCCAAGTTAAAGTTGTAACGAAAAGTTTTTACTTAAAGATGTGAAGATACACCAATACTTATCAATGGAGATGTTAGTCAGAAACAGTAACAGCAACTCAGTAGCTCGACTCCCTACAGATAAGCATCTAAAGTCAATCAAAAATTACAAAAAAGCTTTAATGTTGAGCTGTTGTCACTGGAGAGAAAGACTAGAGCTTCCCAAAGTCTCGGTCCGCCATATGGCAAACGATGCCCCAGCCCAAATCCAACAACATCATCAACATCAAATTTCATTCATTCCGTACAATTCGATATGCACCATCGATTTAATATCGAACAAAGCGTTGTTTAACGAGAAGGAACGTGTGAGTCGCTTCTGGGGACGTGACTCTACTTATACCCGTACTCAGTCAGTATATACATTTTTGAGCTTATGATTTTATAGAATTTTAAAATTTAAAAAAAAATTTTACATATTACATTTTTTTGCTACATCTGTTATCTACATCTACATTTACAATGTATATTTTACATCTAACATGTAGATTATAGCTGTACCATTCAGATTCGACATCTCCTCCGCTAGGGGTTGTTCGCGCACTGAACGCGCAGAGTGTGCGAGCGAGAAAGAGAATGAGTAGCGTGTCTTTGGCAGGTGGAGGCAGAGAAGCAACTGAAAATTAATTTCTTCATTTTGGCTACAATTATAATCCGATCTGATTCAGATTCAGCAGTCTGGTAGATATGGGCATTCTCTACGATACTGCGTTTTTAGTTTTATCGTATCTATAAAATTGTGCCTGCCACAGATTTTCGTTTTTTGTGTGGTCAGAAGGGGGCGGGGCGAAATACACTTGTAGCAGTGTGATATCACATGAGTCTGGAAACCAAATTTGGTTGCCCTAGCTTTTATAGTCTCTGAGATCTAGGCGCTCAACAAGACGGACAGACAGACATGGCTATATCGACTTGGCTATTGATGCTGATCAAGAATGTATTATGGGGTCGGAAACGTTTCCTTCTCTGCGTTACACACATCCACTTTTACCACAAATCTAATATACCCATTAACTCTTTTTTGAGAACGGGTATAAAAACTGAACGTTCGCTCATGTGGGTGTGAAAATTCTTGTCCGCTCCGCAGAAAGGCTTTATTAAGGCTCACAGAAAAAGGGTGTAAAACGAAACGTGTGTCATTTTCACCGTTTGTTCAAGCCACCCAGCATGCGGCTTGGCTTATCTTCAAAATCTTTTACTACGCCAACACATCAACAGTTGCCTCCACTCCATCGACCCGAATGAAATTGTTTGATGCTGACTACCCTTCTTTGAATCCCGTTCGTCAGATATTTATTCCTGAAAAAAATACAGTCCATGTACCCTTCTTTTAAGGGATGGGTTGCACTGTCACATTGTCACATTGTCGCAGTGAAGCTTTTAAATTTCCTGTTGATTAACAACATACCCAAATATTATTGGCTATCCAACTATGTAACTTAGGGACGACTGACCCAAAGCTTGAGAGTTGTTGGAGCCGGATAATGTCCGAAATGTAAATATGAATTCACTTATTGTGATTTTCAATGAAAATTGAATTGAATAAAATTCATTTTATTTGATTAAAGGGATAGAATTTAAGAAGTAGATGTACTATATGTATATTTATAATACCCGTACTTAAAAAGAGCTAAGGGGTATTTGTTGTAAAAGTGGATGTGTGCAACGCAGAGAAGGAAACGTTTCCGACCCCATAAAGTATGTATATTCTTGATCAGCATCAATAGCCGAGTCTATGTCTGTCTGTCTGTCCGTCTGTCCGTCCTGATGAGCGCCTAGATCTCAGAGACTATAAGAGCTAGAGCAACCAAATTTTGTTTCCAGGGTCATGTGATATCACACTGTTACAAGTGTATTTCCGATACTACAAAGGACGAAAATCTGTGCCAGCTACAATTTTAACGATACTATAAGTATCGTAGAGAATGCCCAGATCTACCAGATTGCTATAGCCTCCTCTAGCAAGAGACCACGCTACTCATTATCTTTCTCGCTCGCACACTCTGCCTCGTTCAGTGCCCGAGTGCCCGCTAGCGGAGAAGATGTAGAATATACTTTGTATATGTAGATTTAGATAACAGATGTAGCAAAAATTTTTTAAATGTATGAATGTATTTTAAAATTCTACATAAATCATAAGCTCACAAATTTATAAAAGTAGTGTCGCGTCCACAGAAGCGACTCACACGTTCCTTCTCGTTATATTTTTCTATCTCCCCCTTTTTTTATACGGGGTTTGGGTGGGGGTGGACCCTAGTCGCTCATGCCGGCTTGCCGTCTGTCTGTCGTCGTCCGTCCGTCCGCCGCCGTCCGTCGTCCGTCTGTCCGTCTGCCGTCCGATGAGCGCCGGTAGCTATGTGGGCCCAATGGTTTCCACTCATGTACCCTGCCAGTGTACGCCCCCCCCCCCCCCCACGGCAACGGCAGCCACAATTAAGTACGTAAACCGTAGTAGGTGCCCATCACCAGCTCTGATGTCGCTATCCGTGACGGCCCCCCCCCCCAACAAACGACAACGCAACTAATCCCCGCCCCCCGTTCGCGCGGCAACCCCAGCGGGGAGATGTAGAATCTAAGGTACGTACAACTACTGTTAGTGTAGAATCTGTGATGGTGTAGATAACAAATGTAGAAAAAATAAAATATAATTTTTTTTACTAAATCTAAAAAATCACTCAAAGTATATACGACTGTCGGGTAAGTGGTCGCGCCCAAGCGACTCACCGCCCCGTTTATATTTCAGACCGTGCCAATCACAGTGACCCCACAATTGAAATCTGCCGCCGCTGTCCGCCTGACTACGAAGCCGAATCGTTACCTTCCTACACCATTGTCTCCGGCCTTCCCACCTACGACGATGCTTTGGAGGAATTTCGAAAGGCAGGCATTCTACTAACTCCGTCTGTCGTGCCCATCATAAAAATATTCGAGTGCAACGACAATGGCGGCGGTAAGGAGCAGGCCGTGGGATACAGCCTGGTGGAGACCAATGGAGATGGCAGTGTGGACAACATTTCGCTGAATTCGGCAACGTGTAATTGTGGAAATGCCTCCCCAACCTTAACCTCAACGCTACCTAGCTATAGTGCTGCCACAGCAGCCGCTATGGCCTTGACGGCCGCTTCTGTTCCTCAGGTCATCGAACTGTCACCAGAACACCTGGCCTCGCTCTCACAGAAGCGTCTCTCGCTGCAGATCTCATTCAATAATTCGGTACGACGGCAATCGACTCGTTCAGGTGCCGTCTTGCGAAACAATTTGCTGCGATCCCGAGCCGTTGGCAATACGGCGGGAGTGGGTCTTATGGAAGCCAATGTTACTGTGGCATCTGGACAAGGACGTGGAGGCGGACCGCAAATATTGCCCACTTTGCATCGCTCCTCTTCCACTTTGTCGCTGTCGAATGAGCGCCAGCTGTTAGATCATCGCTTACGGCATTTGCATCATCGCGGCTCTTTGTACTGAGTGTGGAATCTAACCATAAATGTTTTACTCACATTGCTTCCTCTAATGTATTCCATACACGTATCCTCTGTTTTTAGACCTAAGCCATAGAAACAATAAAAGAAAAGCCCTTTTTTATTCAGGTATTTTAAAAACTCATTGCAGACTAACGATCGGTGTTGACTCTAATTATTAATAGATAGAGCTTTCGGTAACTTCTGAAGCATGATCAATATAGTTTATTTGCGAACTGATGTAGGAATGAGTAATTTATTGTAATTTTTGTACCAGAAATGGAATTCAATCAATAAAGGACAAAAAGACTGATTGATGTTCCTGTAGACCCGATTGTCATAGCAACAATACACTTTGTTAATGGACGTCAATTTTTTCTTTTCCAACCGTTTCAAAGTTTGTTTATTTACAATGATGAGCGGTACAACACGGACGGGTCTCGTTCCAACTCCTAAAAGACATATAAAATTTTTAAAAAGGGTAAGAAAATTCGGCAGCTGTAAGTACCAGTATCCAGTATCTGCAGCATCTTTTGTTAACAGCGTAAGAATTATCATGCTGATGATTCGCGGATGCTTAAATTTGAGGCGTTACCCATGCCACTTTCGCTGCGTCCCTTCGGCGGACTGTTCAATCCCTTTGCCAAGGGCTGCTCTGTGCTGTGCAACCATCCAGCTCCATCTGGTGTAAAGGATGTCATAAATCAATTCAAAACATCTCTGGCTATCGAAGGAAAAAATCCACAGTGTGGCAAGGATAAGACAGGGAAAGTGTCTCATGAAGACCAGCTCGAGCCGCATGAAGCGGACAACATACCCGAAGACCTATTCCGTCGTTATGCTGAGACGGATTCACGTCCAATGACGCCAACTCCTACGGTGACCAGTATCCACACAAGGACCAGTGTTGGCTCCTTTTACCGTCGTTGCATCACTCCCGAATGGGGCAAGCACGAGAACATCAAGAGGAAAAAAATCATATTGGATCTCAGACGATCGCACTCCCAGGAAACGCTATACTGGAAGCCCAGCTCGGAGCTCACCCAGAGCGGCTTGGAGGAGGATAAAAAGCCTAAAAGTGCCGGGGCTAATGCCAATGCCAACGAGGACAAGAAGCCCATGAGACAGCAGTCCAATGAGCTGCGACCCAAGTCATCTCTAGCCACTGTCAACCTAGCACCAGGAGCAGATCACATTCGTAGGCTGGACGACGAGACCAAGACCTGTATCAATGAACACGAACTGAGCGATGAAGATGTGCGCAGGGGCAAAAAACGAAAAAAGTTAAAGCCAACTCAAGGTATGTTTCCAGTGAGGAAATCCATCTATTATATTTGCAAAAATTACTTATTAGCAGCCACCACCACTTTTCACTTGAGCGAGGATCCGGAGACACAAGTAGCCGCCCTGGGACCAGACTCACTCAATGCCAGCACTAGACCTAGTCTGATACCCAATTCGGTCAGTCTGCTGACAAAGGATAAACGAGACAGTGAACGGGCACCCATCCTCTTGAAGGGAAGTTTTCTCACAGACGAAGCCTTTCAGGCCCTGAAAACCGATTTGGATGTCGATTTGATAGAGAATACTTTTGGCAGATATGTATGTACATACATAAATATAATGTGGACAATACTTGTTGTGCTACCTATGCCTTTAATACACGTTTTATATATTATTTGTTCTATAGCTTAATCGTGCTCTCAGAGAAGCCATCAAGTATATGCCACCCAAACACAAGATTGTGCAAAAGGACACTGAGGATAATCACTCCACTGAGAGTACGTCTAAGATGCCACGCAAGTTCTCCAAGTCGGCCACAAGGTTTGATGTGCCCATGGATCTGTCCATGATAAACGGTCGGTTCGAGATACTTTTGAACTCAACTCCATCTAACTCCATCCATCTTGTCTCTTCCGCAGCGATGACCCCATGGGATTACTTGAGCAAATATGTGTGGGTCTCTCAGCAGCGCAAGCAGCTCTACAAGCGCGTCTTTCTTAAGTATTTGAGCCGTTGCGAAGGGCCAGAGATCGTTGATGAGCTGGCTCTGCCGGAATATAAGTACAAGGAGCGCACACTACTCTGGCAGAGCTTGCCACAAGCTCTTGAGGACGTTCTAGAGTTTCACGGCACCGAGCAAAATGTTCGTAATACTCTCAATATGCTGGGGTATGGGTGTGAGCAGAATGGGAATGTTGACTTGGACTTTCGTACCTGGTGCGGCATTGTGTCGTTTGCTGAACGGTTGGCGTTGGCCGATGAGTCAGGATCGGATGATTCATGCGATGAATTGGAAAAGGCGGACTTTAACAGTATGGAACAGATAATGAACCTGTTCAATGTGCCAGAAAAATTGCGTAAAATCTTTAGTGTAATTCGCAAAACGCATAAAATAAAATATTAAATTTAACAGTCAGAAATTCCCTTGGCACTTTTTATCGATGTATCGTCACAAATCGACAGGGAACAAAAAAAAGTGCATAACGGGGTGAACTTTTAGTTTTAGTACTTAGTTCGGAAAAAAGACAATGCTCGATAAATAAAAGACACATTTTGCTGGCTACCATTTTTTCGGAGCTATGCGTATTACCTAAAAATGTTTTATACATGGTTCATTTGAACCATTTGGTTCAGCAAATTGGTATATGTTTATAATGGTATATATCACCAATTTATTTTTTTGTTAATTACGGTATATTTCTGATGGTCAGACGGAATATTTTTCGATAAAACCACGGTCACACTACCAGGGCACTAACCATACAGTATACTATGTATACTGTGTATACAGTGACCAGGGGAACCGTTTACGGTATATTATATACTTTACAGGATATTTTGGCGTCGAAATCGAGTTCATATTTACGGTTTGTCGATATACAAAAGTATATTTAATCAATTTCATCAATCTATACTTTAAGGTTTATATATTAAAGTGCTTTTCAAAATGACCGCCAGACTCAATTTAGCGCACAAAAAATAGCGGTAGAGCAACGCTCTCAAATCGTTGTAAATTTCAAAGTAGCCTCCGCACACTGTGCAAATCAGCCAATCTAGCGGAATTAAAGTCAAATTATAATTTAAAATTTCAATTTGAAAGCATAATATCTTCCAGGCGTTAAGCTGCAGACACAAAGTGTCTGGGTCGGATTTATAGCTGCATTTGTCATCTTTTCAGAACTGCAAAGTTCTATGCAACCAGATATAAGATATTTAAGTTATGTGAAAAATAGAAGCACTACCTCTGAAAAAAACCATGAACAAAAATACCAGATTTTAAAAATTCTTAAACAAAAAATTGACCAAAAAAAAAAATTAAAGTACTACAACAATTTTAAAATCCCGAAATCTATAAGAAAAAGTCATTTTGGTCCACAGCGGAAAGAAAAAGTTCAATTTTGTTGAGTAATGTTACCGGACCTAAGGGTGTTGTCAAGGGCTGGCAGCGTTACAGGCAACTGAAGTCCAGTTACTGGAGGCTGAGGTATATACATATACATACATATGCATAAACAGTCATGAAAAAAAAAATAGAAACGGCAGGCGCCGTACATATTTCATTTTCGGAGCAAATTGTTTGCACGCAAACCACTGTGCTTGGTTTAAAGATAACGGTTCTTTATTTTTCGATCCTCTTTTTTGCTTCTTTCATAGGAATTATTAGCTGTGTATAAATACGGATTTGTAGAAAAAACATGTTTTTGTATTGGAAACAAAATTGAAGCGCATTAAATTTTTTGTTTTTAACTTGTAACAAAACGGTTGATATCTAATTATAGAGGTAACATTTCATTGACTTAAGACAAAAGAAGATATAAAATACCTATTCCTGCGGATCCCGTTTTGTTTGTTGTTGTTGTTGGTCGGTTCAAAATTAGTCGTGGCGCACATTGTACGATTACTGAAAGAATATATATCCTAAATCTTAAAAATTAACTCCGCACAATGTCAGATAGTGCCACAATTATAGAATGTGTTTAAAAATTGCTTACGGCTCACTACAAAAAATAGCAAGACACACGCGGAATAAAGTGCGAAGCATCGGAAAAGTTCGACAACCTACGAGTTCGTAAATGAAACGAGAAGGAACGTGTGAGTCGCTTCTGGGGACGCGACTCTACTTATACCCGTACTCAGTCTGTATATACATTTTTGAGCTAATGGTTTTTTTAGAATTAAAAAAAAAACATTTTACATTTTTTTGCTACATCTGTTATTTTCTCTAGCTCTTATAGTCTCTGAGATCCAGGCGCTCATCAAGACGGACGGACGGACAGACGGACAGACGGACAGACGGACGGACAGACGGACATGGCTATATAGACTCGGCTATTGATGCTGATCAAGAATATATATACTTTATGGGGTCGGAAACGTTTCCTTCTCTGCGTTGCATACCCCATAAAGTATATATATTCTTGATCAGCATCAATAGCCGATCCAATATAGCCATGTCTGTCTGTCTGTCTGTCTGTCTGTCTGTCCGTCTGTCCGTCTGTCCGTCTCCATGAGCGCCTAGATCTCAGAGACTATAAGAGCTAGAGAAACCAAATTTGGTTTCTAGACTTATGTGATATCACACTGCTACAAGTGTATTTCAAAATTTCGCCCCGCCCCCTTCCGCCCACGCAAAGGACGAAAATCTGTGGCAGGCACAATTTTAAAGATACGATAAAACTGAAAACGCAGTATCGTAGAAATTGCCCATATCTACCAGATTGCCGAATCTGAATCAGATCGGATCATAATTGTAGCCAGAATGAAGAAATTTTCAGTTGCTTCACCCGTCAGATGTAGATAACAGATGTAGAAAAAAAATGTAAAATGTAAATTTTTTTTTTTATTCTAAAATTCTAAAAAATCATGCTCAAAAATGTATATGCTGACTGAGTACGGGTATAAGTAGAGTCGCGTCCCCAGAAGCGACTCGCATGTTCCTTTTCGTTTTTACTAGCATTAAGTCTTCCGTTTTTTTCCGGCCCTAAAAAATTCAAAAATTTATTTTGAGTGCATTAAATTTTTTTAATCTTTATGTTTTGTTATATTTTAATATATATTACTGCATACATACATTGAAAAGTACGAAAAAAATATATATATGTACATATGATTGTATGTAGTACCTCAGTAAAATTGATATTTGTGCAAGAATTGTTTTCGATGCTACCGTTATTTATAATGGTATATAATATATCATATATGCATATATTCTTGATCAGCATCAATAGCCGAGTCGATATACCATGTCTGTCTGTCCGTCTTGATGAGCTCCTAGCTTTCAGAGACTAAATGCTATTGCAGTTGCTAGCCCCACCCCTCCCAGCGCTGCAGCCGCTATCTTTCAATTTAGTTTGCCAAAATATGTAGCTCTGTGGCTGGCATGAACAGAGATTTCCTCAAAAAGGAACTTCCGATGCTGGTGTATAAAGATTTTCTGTAAGCTGGAAATTTTGTGCGCCTAACCGATGATCTGAGCGACGACTTATTTGCCACCGATGTCGAAAGTGTACTTATCGAACACGGCATTATAGTCGATAGGACTCTATACAGCTAAGATATGTTACCATGTCAAAATAACGAAATATGTTTTTAGGGACAACATTTAAGAGAGAACTTAAGCAAGACCTGCCCGCAAGTTGTAATGCAATTTAAATGTTTATTTTCCCATTCAATAATTAGTTACATTATATGTATGATTTTTTTCTCTTTGTTTTACGGAATATTATGTGAAACTTTCATGTTACATCTCTTTTTTTTTTAATACTATAAAACAATTTTCATTGTGTTTAAAAAGTCCAAAATTTAAAGGAAAAATATAAATGTATAAAAAATATTTGAGAAATCTATTCGAATTTTATCAGATTGAAATTTTATGGAGCAGATCCAGTACTCTTACATACGTAGAATATAGTGTACTCCGTAAGATTTATACATAAATTTACACATATGTAGATTGTATATTTCATAGCTTATAGCCTACCATATACAGCAATACAAATTATGTGGATATCTTAGGCTGTTTTGTTTTTTGCTAATCAACAAATTGGTGTTTTTCTTTATTTCTCATTCCTTTACGTTAAGCGCTATATGTTTATAGTGTACATATAAATGTAATGGAACGTTTCATACTATGTATGAAGAGGCCAAAGAATTTTGTTTTAAATATTTCGTTTCTTGAACCAACACTTAGTCTACAATAATTAAATTAAACACAAGCATAGTGTCCAAATACAGCGCGGAAAATGTTCAATCTCTTTTTTTAACACTATGTATAAAGAAGCTTTCATTGTTTGAAAAAATCTTCAAGCTATAGAAGGAAAGTGGAATTTTTTATATGAACAGTCTAGGGGGACTTGGCATGAACCGCATACTTGGATTTTATCTAAAATTATCTACTACTAGTCGTAGAGGATTCGACGAGTTCTATAAATCATGGAATTATCTTGGTTGTGGTTGTTGTATCTATCAGATGGTTTATCTGATTCCTCGCGGTAGAGCAGTGTCAGCAGATCGTATAATATCTTTGTGACACACATACATATACCCACATATATAATAATAAACATAGCGATATACATATAAACGATGAAAAAATTTAAATATTGGCATTACACGTTGTTCTCATTAAGCAAGTATACAAGTATCTCATTAAAAGTATAATATGAAAATGCTTAGTCAGATTTAAATGCTAACATATGTTGCTATAATCCTTTCTAGAATTATTATAGAGGTAAAATATATTTCGATTGGTTTGTTTTGCTTTTCCAATTATCATTATCAAAAATTAATGTTAATCTGTAAAGTAGGTTTTGATTGCGTTTAAGGAGCTTCAATTGATTTAATTCGATTTTAAGAGCTTAGACATTATCATTTTCAGTTACGAAATCGATTGGCTAGATTGTTCAGATGATATATACGAGTAGTTTAGACATGCTTCTTGCATCGTTGTTTCGGTCTGCGATCAGGTGGAAAGTGTTCGTTTGGATTCACCTTGACAATGTTTAAGTTTCAGTGAGTTTCTTTTTGGTTAAAACAGAATATCAAAACGAATCAATCAATTTAAAAACAAAATAATCTTTGACTAAAATTTGTCAATTTTTTGCAATGTATTAGTAGTTTTAGTTGTAAATTGGTTTTACTTCCACTTTTGTTGGTTTGTTTAACTAAAGAAAATCAGCCTTTTCTTGCATACACAATAAATATATAATTATCATTATCTATGTATGCATGTATGTGTTTAGTTGGAAGTATACATACATACATATATAAAAAAATGTATTTTCTAATGTAGTTTCATTTTAAAATCGTTAGACGTAAACCTAGTTGCAGCTGTGGAAGGGATGCGGTTTCGGTGTCGTTTTCCTTATGCTCCTACTGAATTTTACCATGTGCCTTTCCCTGTTACAGCCGAGGCGGTTTAAACCTCAGTGTAGTGCACTCGACACCCAGCTGGTGCTCCAGTGTGTCCATCCTGACGCCGTTATCATCACTGCCGCCACACTCTGCTATGGAATTGCGCACCGACGATGGCTGCTCGGTGGCCGGCAACAAACCCACCATCAACAGCGGACTGTTCAGTGCCTGATTGACACTGGCTGATGTCCCAATTCCTGGTCCAGCTCCGGCGGTCAACTGATCACTGCCCAGGCTATTGCTACTGTTGCTCTGACTGTTGCCTCCGATCTGCTTCTCCTTGTTCCGCCGCAACGATGATCGGTACTGGCGTGGCACATTAATAAGCAGGCGCCGTGCGGGATTGTGCTGGCCGCCGAGACTGGAGTTGACGTTGGTGGTATGGGGACGACGGGCATACTGTATGGACTCGGCGCTGTTACTCAAACGGATGTTGCCAACTGATCGAGTTAAAACAGGGACAGAGAAGAGAGAAAAATAATATTTATTGATCAGTATCGATTTTATCCGATTGTTTCAATGGCAGAAAAAGCTTGTTGCTTGTTCTTGTGGCGGTTTCAATGGTTGTTGCCGTCGTAATGATTGATGCCATGATTTCTGGTTATGTTTGTGGAAACAAAGAATATTTTGAAAAAAAAAAATGCAATAACAAGAGAAGAAGCGAACTTTGTTAGTACACAAAAAAAAATTACAACATCTATGTATATGTATGGGTATGTTTGATAGTGTGACACGTATGAAACAACACAAAAGCTTTTAACGTTTTGGTTTTTGGAATACACAGTATAATCAAATAATTTAATTTATTATAACACAAAGCGAAACATTAAAAAAAAAATTGAAGTGATCGCTACATACACAGACAAAAAAACTCCTTAAAACATAACACAATATTCAACTAGAACATTAAATAATTTAATTAAAACCAATCACTAAATAGTAAATTAAAAAATTAGGTAAAACGGTTGCAAAAAAATGTTATTAAAAACTTTAAAATTGGTTGCAACGGGAAACTTGTTAAACATGTACGGAGGAAATCGTTTAAATCAGCCAAAGACATTTTTTTTTTTTACTTCTTGTCTTCCATTCGAATAGAGCATATCAAATTCCTTTCATCTAACAACAAATATAAATAAATTAGTTTTTCTGGATCGTTTATATGTATGTATGTATGTATGTATATATGAATGTACATATAGCATTAGTATGGTCATAAGCATAAGTTCATTATCTACAAATGGATGCAACTGGTAGCTAAAAAACACAAGACATCCATTTTGATTTTCTCCTTATCCTTTTTTAAAACAAAAAATCTAAAACATTGAAAATGACATTGGCAAAGTTGTTGTTACTGCTCGTGCTGTTGCTGTGGTTGTTGTTGCTGAGGCGACTGACACTACGACGGGAAAGCGGCATTGTGGAGGAGGCCATCTCAAAGGATTGATACAGCGAGGATCCGTTGCTGATTAGTCGCTGCCGCTGACGATGATGTTGTCGTGGCACAGACATGGGCGTGGAGTGGCGCAACAACTGCAGCGACTGCCGCGGTTCCTTGTGATGCTCTAGCTCATGGGCCTGCAGTGTGTGAAGCCTCCCCCCATTCAACGAATCGCAGTCGCTGTCCTCCTCAGCCACAACAACAACAGAAGCGGGGGCAGTTTGATTGGAGGTGCGGCTGGTCAAGAATTGTGTCGAGTAGTAGCATGAGTGGTTGAGCGGTGTGTAGAAGGCGAGTCTGGGCACCGCCAAGTGGTGGCTGCTGTTAGTGTTGGTGAGTCCAGCGTTATAGCTACCCGAATTGACATCAAGCAGCTGGCGACGTGGCTGCTGCTGTTGAATATGCGGATGATGCTGGGGGGGTCTTAGAAGAACTTTGGAATGTATCTGTTGCTGCTGCTGCTCCCTCTGATGGCCGTAGCTATCTTCGGTGTCCATCATGTCGCCCCATAGTTGCTCCAGTGGGGGTTCATGCTCTTGCTGCTGCCTACGGTAGAAGTGATAGAGCAGCGCCGCCTGGTTCCGGTCCCCATCCGCATAGGCCTGGCGCATGTCCCGGGTGCTGCCGCCACCCAAGTAACCAGCGGCAGCGGCAAGGCAGCAGTCACTGCACGTGTCCGCCGGGATCTGCAGTGACACGACCGCATCCCTAGGCCCCAGGAACCACTCAGAGCGAGTGCGCATTCGAGCGGTTTGGCGTTCATGGACCTAACATTTTGGTTGGGGTTTTCACACATGTTTTATCGATTCAGTTTTCAATTGATGTTGTTGTGTTGTACAGTTGTTATTATAGTTGAGGGAAAAGACGTGGGGGATTCAAAATGATCACATTAGAGTTATTGGCAATTAAGAATGTTCTGTTCTAACTATCTGAATTCTTTTTTCACATAACTAAAAATGATTTTAAACAAAAAAACAAAAAATTAAAAAAAATCAAAAATAAATAATACAAAAAAATTTAATAATCTTCTCAATTTAAATTGTACATATGTATGTATGTAAATGAAAAATAGCAGAAATAGCGTAGTGAAAATAAGTGCATGATTATCAATATATATTTGAAAGAAAAAAAATATATACATACATACACAAGCACTAGGGGTATTCGAAGCATAAATATATTTCTTTAATCATAAAACAAGCTGAGCATGTCACAATCAATTTAATATTTTATGCTTTAACATTTAAACTAGGCACAGGATAGTTAAGAAATGCGTTGAGCGAAAAGGAAACGCAAGCGCTTTGATTGATTTATATTTTGAGCTCAAGCAACACTTCATAAATAAATTCAGGAAAAGTAAGATAGTTGGCTCGTGTTTTGTAGATGTTGCATGACATTTTTTTTTTAATTTTTGGTGGTTTGAAAACTAGTTGTGATGTGGCTAAATATTAAACTATATACATAAGTGTCGCAGGGTGCATCAAACAGATCAAAACCATGTTAAAAAAGCAGTCAATTAAATCACATATGCAAACACACACAAAAAAAAAAAATGCGTTCAGCGAAATAATAAAAAAAAAGTTGGTGAAGATAACAAAAACATATTGAGTCAACTTAGGGTAGAAACAAAACATTTAGAAACTAATTTTAAGTTGTTGTGTCTTCAAACTCGCAATAATACGAAAAAAGTTTAATTTAGTACTGAAAACTCAAAATCTAAAACTAATAACATACATTTGGATCTACTGCTGTGTATTTACTGTTAATGTATTTTAATTTACTGTTTCAGGGCGTATTTTTTATATCTGCCTCGGACAGGAACGGCACTTGTGTGTTAATTGGTACTCATAGAGGATGACTTTCCGGATAGAGTACACAAGGATGTTTACAAAATGTATTTTTAAAACTAGTGCAATGAAAATAAATGCCAACTAATCAATGAAGCGAAGGTTTTCTCATTAATTTGACTATTTTTTTTTAAAAATTGCTTCATTCGAAATTGTTTACTATATAACAGAATCTAGCTCTTTCCAATTGAAAAACATTTACTTCTTGCCTAGATAGTAGAATCAGGCTAATGTATGCATTCCTGTATCCTTAAACCCAAAAAACCTGAAAAATGTATACAACAGTATATAGTAATTCACTTGAGAGCAAACTTACAGCCAATAGTTGTAATAAGCGAACTGTCGCCTTGAACATAACAATTTTTGTATCTTGCAGGGTTTAGGTTTAAGCACTCGTTTTTTATTTAATGAGAATATGTCTTTATATAATAGTATTTCATGTTTCGGTTGAGAATTGAGCATTTTTGTTTATTTGCGTTAGCTATTTTCATTTAAATGAAAAATTTAGTTGAAAAATTGATTATTACAAATTAGAAAACGGAAAACTGATATGATAATCGAACTTTAGATGCGCTAAACTTAATTTTTGTGTTTACAGATTTTTCGTGGAAAAATAAAGTTTCTCTGGGTGTTTTACCTTTTTAAAGCTTTAAGTGCATTTTATATGACTTACAATAATGAATATGTAAGTTAGGTGTGGTTTTATATGTTTGTTATTGTGTAAGTAGTTAATGTTGTTCATGGAAGGCGGAAGATGTGTGATCTAGGTTATGATAACAGTACCAAAACTAGAGACATGGAAAATATTCAACAATTCTGGCTAAATTTGCGAAGTGATTGAGTTAGAAGAGCGAAATACATAGTACAAATTGTGTTTAGAGAAGGAAACATTTCCGATTCGCAAAATGCCAATGAAATAGAAAACAAGTAAACTTAAACAAAATAATAAAAAATAATGATCATACAAAAGTTTGATGTAAAGAAAATGTATACATATATAAAAGATTACAAAAAAATCAAGTAGTAAATAATTCCATTTGAAATTTTAAAATAAAACAAATGTAGCAAAACAAAAACAGAAAAACTAAAATATAAATAAAAAATCGTTCTAACTAAAGTATTCATTATTCTGAATATCGTATTCTTGATTAATATTTTTCCTGCAAAAGGAAAACAAATCTTGATATTCGAGCAGCAATTTCATAAGGTTAGGTCTATAATCTAGGAAAGTTTTTTGTTTAATATAACGGTCATATCGGATCGAGGTGGATCTTAAACGGAAATCCTTGATCCCAGCAAGAACTCGTCCCTCACCTGTGGCAGATACGAGAGGCTCTTGGTGCTCTCCGCATAGCGGTTGACGGCCCTCAGCTCATCCATGGTCATGCCGTCTCCTGCGGTGCCCGATGTTGCTCCTGCACTAGAGCCGGCTGGTCCGGCTGAGTTGGAACTGCAGGAGCTGCTGTGGCGTATGCCGCGATTGCAGCGACTACAAGTGCGCTGCTTTGGCTTGGGCGGCGTTGGACTAACCCCGGAAATGGCAGAGGCTTCGGGCACAGCTGCAGTCAAGGAGGAGCATCCAGGAGTGCGACGATCGCCGCTGCCGTCGAGACTCTTGGTTCCGGTGCGAAGGCGTCTTTGGTGGTGGCTACTGCTATTGCTGGGCACCGGCTTCTTCTTGTTCTGGCGATAGCGACGTTTCACAACGGTCATCTCGTCCTCATCCTCGTCATCGTCGTCCTCGTAGTTTTTTGTGGCCTGACGATGCTTTTGGCGATAGATTGCCCGCAGCTGGGCCGTCGCCTGCTCTTTTATTGGGGGAGCTCTTTCAATGCAGCTCAGTTCCAGTTCGGGGGGAAAGACTTGAGCCCTGTCTAATTCATCATTGTCTTCGTCATCGTCGGCATAGTCATCGTAGTCTGTGGCATTGCCGTTGGAACTCCCATTACCGTTGCCGCTGCCCTGGCGCTTGGCTGGCAGTGGGGACGAGGTCATGGCAAAGATTCCGGGTCCCTCCAACGAGACGGAGAGACGGGCGCAGCTTTCTATGAACGAGTGCTCTGGGGAGACGCCCAGCGAGAGGACGCTGTTCTCCAGGGCCGAACTGGAGCTGGTCAGCAGAGCGGGTGTCGAGCGGGATTCCTCCTGGGCCACTAAATGGTCAGCATTTCAAGTTGTTAGCAAATGGATTGATGATTCTTTTTCGGTTTTGCATGAGGGACTAACTAATATGCATGCGGTAAGCGTAACAGATGGGGATGCGGTATGTGGGATTGTCGTGCCGAGATTAAACCCAAAAGCTCTCGGTACAGCTTATCACCATAGAGCGGAGTTAAGGCGGACAGTGTATGTAGTATATGTGTGTAGACAGTTGGGAAAGGAGAAGAAAAGTATTTCAGAAGCAAAGCAAAAGTAAAATATATGTATATCTATCTATGTCTATATCTATATGTATATATCAATAAATTGGGGGGTACTCACGTAAGCCCCAACGCTCGCACTGGCACTGTAGCCAGGTCTTCTCCGCCTCAAGAGAGTGTTGTACTGTTTGGGAAAGCGACCAGAACTTATTAACAAGAATTCAATATTTGGTTATTGGAAAGCGATATCTTTTTGAGATATTTTGAAAGTAGTTTAGACCAGCTAAACTAAATACTAATAATTGGAATGCGATTCTTATTATCAATTTCCTATCTGTTTATCAATTTACTATCTGTTTAAGTTTTCGAGTTAACTAAAAGCTTCCGTACTTCTTAAAACAAATCCAAAATTCTAACAGGATATGCATTCCTTGATATGATAACCGTATTTTTTTTTTGTAGCATTTGCATCTATATCTTTTCTACTTTAATTTGCAAATCCTGTTGCAACACTCACATGCGTATTTCTGTTGAGCCAACTTGCCACGAGGTGGTGGGGGGTACTGAAAGCTGCATATCCACTCATCCTGCACCTTTAGAATGCGTCCAGTGACGCGGGCATAATATTCATAGTTCTCTCGGCCAAATATATCGTGTGTGGCAAACTTATCTATTATATTCTGCATGATCTTCGTAGCAACCTGAAACGTAATACGAGAATTTATAAAATTTTCATTTTTAAAGCGGTTCTGATTTCAACGAGCTCACCTTGAACTTCAGAACATCCTCCATACGGGCAGTTTTGCCGTCGCTGACACAGGACTGAAAGAAACTGGGGGCGACTGAGACGCCCAGGGCCTCGCTGGTCATTCCAGTGGATGCATGGGCCGCATTGCTTGCTATGACTCGGAATGTGCCAAACAGTAGAACCAAAAGATGTTGTGTGTACTTTGGAAGAGAACCGAACAGTCTGGAAGAATGTTTCAAGATATTTTAAATATTTTCTAGATAGCGGTTATCATAGGGCTGAGCTGTCTGAACTTGTGAGTCATGTTTTTTATTATTTATTATCATTACAGAAGTGGACTGATTCATCCTTTTGGATACAGTGAGTAGTATTCAACTTCAGCTACCTATCACAGTCATCATCGTCGTCGTAGGCAAAGAAAGTCTAGTCTGTGCTGTTCCTCACAGCCGATGTCTGGTCGCACATTGTTCACACTTTCATTTATTAATTTATAGCTATTCAGCTGTAGCTCTAGCTCAAGCTCCGGAATCGATAACAAAAAATTGGTTGGGACCGGCGGCCTCTTAAGCGTCCACATTACACAACGTCGTAAATGTAGCCACGACGAATCAGAGCCAAAACAAGCGCCAAGCCAAGCAAAACGAAACATCCAACAAAAAGGATAGAAACAAAATAAAAAATAAAAAACACCTCCCCGACTCAATCAATTAATGCTTTAAAAGCAACGCTGTACACCCTCCCCTCTCTATAGTGGCATTGGCCTGGGAATCTCTCTGCCGAGAGCTGGCTCTTAAAAAGTGAAAACTACTCGTGTGAGATCCAGTAAAAAATGGAGAACTGCGAGAGAAAGATAAATGCAAAGGGGTGTTTGACAATAAGCTATACTGTAATATTGTCTCGCACTATTTTCAGATTTATGATAGTGTGAATCCACCGATAAGTCCAATAAGAGAGCGCAGTGGGGCCTCAGCCGAAAAGAGTTGGCAATAGTACTTTTTATATCCGTACTCTCAAACATTTAAGGGGTATATTAGATTTGTGGTTTCCGACCCTATAAAGTATATATATTCTTGATCAGCATTAATAGCCGAGTCGATATAGCCATGTCCGTCTGTCCGTTCGTCTGTCTGTCTGTCTGTCAGTATTTCCGTCTTGTTGAGCGCCTAGATCTCAGAGACTATAAGAGCTAGGGCAACCAAATTTGGTTTCCAGACTCATGTGATATCACACTGCTACAAGTGTATTTCAAAATTTCGGCCGCCCCCTTCCGCCACCACAAAGGACGAAAATCTGTGGCAGGCAGCATTTTAAAGATACGATAAAACTAAAAACGCAGTATCGTAGAGTATCGATCGCACACTCCGCGTTCAGTTTATAGATTTTGTTGCTGTTTTTTTTTTGCCGCATTTGATTTGCCTCTGAAACTGTATTTTATCATAATTTCATATGAGCAATATATATATATATGTAATCGTAGAATTGTGCATGCAGGTTTTTGTCTCAGTTTATTACGTATGAGAAGTCTCCGGAGATACGGATTTTGATAAAGATGCCCTTCCCTTCCAGAGAAACCAGTTTCCCGCCAAGCAAGCCAGACTCTTGTGCCACTTTCGAGAGGAGAACTCCCAGTGGAGTTGGGTTTGTGTTGGGTCTGGCGGTCTGCGTAAGTGATAAGTGAAATGTCATGCAAAAGATAATTGAGTTTACCCGCGCTCAAAAAATAAATTGAAATATTTCAAAATAGGTGTGTATTATGTTTAATGGAATTAGTGGAAACCGAACGATAAGTTATAAATAAAATATTATTTAAGTTGATCATAATGCAGAGCAAGTAATAGTTTAAAGATTCAATTGTTAAAGAATTCAATCGCTACTAAATGGATTTATGTTTGCGTCATCACAACCTTTGTATGTACAATGTACATACATTGTAGAAATATATAAAAGGAGCGGAATGTTTTAAAAATTACAAATCTGAATTACACTTTTTAATGATTAACACATATTAACACACGAAAATGTGTTCAGAATACATAGATTTCAATTATATTTCTATGTAGATTTCCTCCACTCTCTATCACTCTCTGTCTTTTGCTCCAAAACTAGCATCAATATTCATTGCGGCAAGTCCAATCTGCATCTTCTGTTCAGTTCCAATTCAAAGTCGTTGTCGGATCCGAGAAGGAGACGATGTGGAAGTGGAGCTGTTTTTGTGCTCGTTTAACATATGCAAACATAACCGCAGTTGAAGCAAGTTTATGTTGTCATCAGTAATGATGAACCCAGCAGAACTAATACCAACAACAGTGCATGCAGCAACAAAATCAGAGGCATCACTAACCCAACATCGGCAGGGCTAGCAGAAGAATATCATATGTAAAGTTACAGTTTGATCGCTCCTATAGGCATACATGTACATAGATACGGTGATACAAAAAATAATAGAAACGGCAGGCGCATTTACATTTGAAACCAAATACATATGGGCATTTTTGAAGACGAACAGGACTGTCGCACGCACTGTAAGTGGTTTAAAGGTCAAAAAAAGACGGATTTTCAAAATTGTTGTACTTTTATGGCACACCTTTTGACTAGCACTATAACTGGTGCTAAGGTCGGTTTTGGGCAACTATTCGTTTTCGAGATTTTTGCAAAAATCCAAGCTATTCGCACGGGAAAAATATGGAAGTGGTTTTCGTGGCGATCAATTCAAACTCAGATTCCAGCAGAAGTAGGATTGCTGTCTCTTTGAAATGGCTATAATTTTAAGCAAATATGATTCGTAGCTTTCTTTTTTATTTAATTAAAACCATATTCGCACGGGGCATGTCGCATGGGACAAACATTCCTAGGATAACAACAGTTAAAAACATACCATTCCAGCACCGCGGAATCTAAAAATTCCTGTCAAACTTAATATAAAAAAAACGGTGCCAGGAAAATTTCTTTTACGTTTTCCTGGAGTTTGTATCCAGCAACACGAGCGGAATCCACAGATTTATATCGATAGTTACCTATCGGGACCGTGTGTGAACTGAGAGAACAGCTTGCACCCAGCTCAGGAATATATGTTCAACAATTATTCCTGAAGTGAATGGTGCAAGATGTAGGCAAAAACTGTCCGCAAAACCAAAAAGAGAGATGAAAATTATTCTTCTTTGTTTTGCAACAATATATGCCGCCACCAACACAATCACTTTATCATCAGAGTGCATTTTTTTTCCTTTTTTAATTTTAGCACAATTTTACTGTTGGCCATGTTTACAAAACACAGCTGATTCATCAACCCTGTTTTAGCTACGTTCCACACCCTCACGGAATAACTAGTAAATTCATGGCAGGAATTTTCCGCGGTGCTGGAGACAGGCTTTTAGCCGGGATTGAACCATTTTCTCGTATTTTTTTGAGATAGTTGAATATGTTTGAAAGATTTTGTGCAATATTTTTTCTCAAGAATTATCATTTTTATAAGAGATAATAGTACTAGAAAACATGACTAAAACAAAACAAAAAGAAAATACAAAAAAAAGACCGAAACAGTGAACTTTTGCTCATTTGAATATGTTTTCACATCAAAATCAATGAAATTATATGTCAATTGGGTAAATTAGGTGTCGTTCAAAAAATGTAGACTATAAAATCGCAACAGAATTATATGAAATGTGTTTTTATAGACATTTATTTTTTGTTCTCGGTGGACCTCGTCAGAGGTCCATATTTCATTTTTGGAGAAAATTGTTTGCATGCTTTATTTTTTATACCCGTACTCAAAGAAGAGTTAAGGGGTATATTAGATTTGTGGTAAAAGTGGATGTGTGCAACGCAGAGAAGGAAACGTTTCCGACCCCATAAAGTATATATATTCTTGATCAGCATCAATAGCCGAGTCAATATAGCCATGTCCGTCTGTCCGTCCGTCTGTCCGTCCGTCCGTCCGTCTGTCCGTCTGTCCGTCTTGATGAGCGCCTAGAGCTGAGAGACTATAAGAGCTAGAGAAACCAAATTTGGTTTCCAGACTCATGTGATATCACACTGCTACAAGTGTATTTCAAAATTTCCCTCTCCTTCTCCAGCGCTGCTGACGCTACCTATCTCTTTCTCGCTCGCACACTCTGCCGCGTTCAGTGCGCGAGCAACCCCTAGCGGAGAAGATGTAGAATCTGAATGGTATATGTACAATCTACATGTTAGATGTGGAATATACATTGTAGATGTAGATGTAGATAACAGATGTAGCAAAAAATTGTAAAATGTAAAATTTTTCTTTTTAATTTTTAAATTCTAAAAAATCATAAGCTCAAAAATGTATATACTGACTGAGTACGGGTATAAGTAGAGTCGCGTCCCCAGAAGCGGCTCACACGTTCCTTCTCGTTTTGATTCTTTTTGGGGGTTCTTTCGTAAGAAATATTCAGGCAGGCTCTGGTTTTCACTTACTTTAACGTTTAACGTTTTCAGCCAAAATTCATACTTTTCACTTCAAGCACGCGTTAGTGTCAGCTCATATAAAAAGGCCTCTGTTATGTTTAACATAGATTTATCGATAAAAAAATCAGGCTGCCACAGCTGTTCGGGCGAATCCACTATTTGTTGTTGCCCTGACCACTTTTTTCCATCCATTTTTGAGGTTGATTTAAATAAAAACTATTGATAACGAGAAGGAACGTGCGAGTCGCTGCTAAAGACGCGACTCTACTTATACCCGTACTCAGTCACTATATAAATTTTTGAGCATATGATTTTTTAGAATTTTAGAATTAAAAAAAAAAAATTTACATTTACATTTTTTTGCTACATCTGCTATCTACATCTTCATATAAAATGTCTATTCTACATCTAACGTGTAGATTGTACATGTTCCATTCATATTCTACATCTCCTCCGCTAGGGGTTGCTCGCGCACTGAACGCGGCAGAGTGTGCGAGCGAGACGGAAAATGAGTTGCGTAGTCGTTTGCCGGACGGGGGGCAGGGTAGCCAACTGAAAATTAATTTCTTCATTCTGGCTATATGTGTGCCACAGATTTTCGTCCTTTGTGTGGGCGGAAGGGGGCGGGGCGAAATTTTGAAATACACTTGTAGCAGTGTGATATCACATGAGTCTGGAAACCAAATTTGGTTGCCCTAGCTCTTATAGTCTCTGAGATCCAGGCGTCAAACAAGACGGACAGACGTTCAGACGGACAGACAGACATGGCTATATCGACTCGGCTATTGATGCTG